AGAGTGAGACTCCAACTCAAAAAAAAAAAAAAAAAGAAAAAGAAAAAGAAAACATGCAACCAACCAACAATCAAATTTCCAGAAGCAGCTAAGACAATGAATGTTTCCTTCACCATCTGTAAACCTGGTGAGAAAGTTTCCCAGGAAATGAGAGTCAAAAAAGCCTCCTTTCTTCTCATGCCTGGTAAGCACAAGCTCACAGAATTATATATAAAAACTGAGTCCAGGGAGGTTATAGAAATTGGTAAGTGCTATTTGGAAGCAAGTTGCTGTATAACTCAGGGGGTCTAGATTGTCTCTGTTTTCTTCTCCTTTGAAATTAGAATCTATAATTACTCAGCGATTTATCACAGAAACAACAATCTGAGTACCACATGTACTCACTCATAAGTGGACCCTGAACATTTATTATAATACTATAAGAAAGGGATTGGCAGTAGTGGGACACTGTACAGTGGGGTGGCACATAACATCAATAACTTTACCTGTATGATGATCACGTATATACCTAACCCTGATCTGTACTCCACATCAAAAAAAAAGAAAGATGCAAATCAGATAAAATTCAAGACTATATTCTCCCACTTATGAGATGTTGATGTAAGCGCATACATTTCCCTTTAAGATGACATTTTAAAAATAATGTGAGAGTGGTATTTCCTGAAATTCTTTCTTTGGGGTTATGACAGTTGTTAGATTAAAGTGGTAATTTAATTCTCTGACTTGCGGAAGTGGTATTTCTGGGAATTATATTAGAGTACAGCTATTTGTAATCTCAGAAAAGCCCTGCTTGAATGGCAAGGTACCACTGAAAATACCCAATGCTAAATGTTCCCACATCATCACAAAAAGCACAGGACATCAAATTTATTTCCTTCAAGAATTTTGATTATACATATTTTAGTTGACTAAAGACTTAGTTCATGAGAAGATTATAAATAGTGAACATTCAAATTGTTATGATGTTCTAATCTTATAAAAATAATCCTTTGTTAAGGGGCAAGTAAGCCAAATCCTATCTCCATTTTGCTACTCCTCCACTTCATTACAGATTAATCAGGAAATAATGATAAAGCAACAGCTAGCAAATATTGAGTGCTTATCATTGCACAGACAAGAAAACTGAGGGTTTAGGAGTTTAATAATTTGACCAAGAACACACAGCTGGCTATTTGGGTTTCTTCACAATGAATGCATGTTCCAAGAGACTAAGGTGGAAGTTACAAGGCTTCTTATAACTTAGCTTTAGTAGTTTCAGGACATCATTTCTACTACATTTTTTTCTGGTCAAACAAGTTCCTAAAGCCTGTACAGAATCACTAGAAGCAAATTAAACTCCACTTTTCAGGGGAGGAAATAATAATGAATTTGTGTACATAGTTAACCTACCGTGAAACTAGTATGTATTTGCTATCTCTGTTTCCTTATCTTTCATTCATTCCACTGATTGTACTTGACTTCTGCCTATATTACCACCAATGGACACTGATAGCCTTCAAATCAGTGGACTATTTCAGTTCTGGGCAAGCTTAAAACTGTAGGAAGAAGTCTTCCCTTATCTTTAGCTCTGAATATCCAACCATCTTCCTCAAATCTCTTGGAAGTCTCAATGGTACTTCCAACTCAGTGTATTTCACATTAAACCCATCACCCTTTCCTTCTTTCCCTATCTCTAAATATGGCTCACTTTCAGTGTTGACTCTCTTAGTAAGTGACATCACCAGTTGTGTAAACAGAGAATTTAAGACATATTCCTAATATCTCAATCTCTTTTACTCTCTTGTCTAATTTATTATATAACCTTATGAATGTATTCTTTACCCTTAACCCAAACTATGGTTATCTCTTTCCAGGAGTATCATAAGATCCTTTTTACTTGCCCTTCCATAATAACTTTGGATCTTCCACTTCTGATGACAGCATCCAACTTTTTCTGTGGGAACTGTCCCTTTCCTCTTTTCGGGTCATGCTGCTCAGGTGGAGCTGACAGTACCATCTGACTGCAGAAGTGAGCAAGTCATTTGTCCTGTCCATGAGCATATCCTCTTGGCCATAATGATTGTTTCATGGGTGGACCCAAGTTGTTTAGTAAGTGTCAGTTCCGAGATATTTATTGGAACTATGGAGAAAAGGAGGTGCTCTTTCCTGGAGTTATAATATATGATATTTTTTATTCTAGGCTGCCAGCTGTCATCTCAGCCCCAGGAGAGGAGTTCCTGCCTAAAAATAAAGCCCATACAGTAGAAAGCAGAGCTGTGTATTCCTGAAAACATCATTGAGCATCCAGATTCTAAAGTGCCTGAATATCTGTTCTTGGCCACACTTTACAA